CTTCTTCCCCTTGTTCTTCTTCCTCTTCATCATCATCTTCTTGTGTTACTGCTGCTACTGACTGATGTTGCTGTTTGCTGCTGCTGCTGTTGCCGCTGCCTGTCTTGGGTCGTTGCCTCCTGTTGATGATGTCGATGATGGGCAAAATGATGAATGACACAAAAGTCCGATGAGCGTGCGGCTAGTTGGTTTTTGTCGCTGAATTGATGGCCGTTTTCGAGGCATGTTTCGACACTCGGCTCCCGTGTTTTCTCACTGATCTCGTCAGCTTGCCAAATTTCAGCAAACAAAAAATAGAGGCACTTTGGAAAAAACGGAGAAATTTTCAAAAGTTGGGAAGATGTTTGGTTGGGTTGATCCCTATTGGGATTTGTGGTGTTATTTTTGAGAACACGGCGGGTTATAAATCTTTTAAGACAATTCGAACATATATTTTCAATTTTGAAAATTGACATCAAAAACTTGATAGCGCAAAATTGAAAAGCACCCAAAATTATGATATTATCTGAAACCCCTCCTCAATTTTCAATTTTCTTTTTTGTTCGCGAAGCCCAAAATTTGCACAAAAAGAAAGCGTCTTTTAAGTGTCGATCCTTTTCGAATATAGGCGTCACCGAATGTTGTCGAATAGATTTCAAAACTGGCAGCTCGCCATGATTAATGATGACGATGACGATACAAAGCGATCGGCCGCGCGCGCGCGCACCCCCACCGCCACGTTCAACAATTCCCAAATTCATAATGTTTCGGTTTGAATAATTAACGAGCCGCCCATTAATCACCGTCGGCCGTGTGAGGGACCCCTCGTCCAAAAATCGCGATTGATGGTGAGAAACTCAACAGACGGCTGATGTCACAAATCTCTTTTTTTTCCGACGACTCGCGCGGATTTATGATCACTGTGTGTTATTCTAATGATAATAACATCTGCCCGTCCGATGGTTGTTAGTTGACTAGCAAATTGGGCGAAAATATAAAAACGAAAAAGGGCGGCGAATGGGGAGCGATCCGTCATACTCGTCAAATGACAAATCGTTTTTTTCCAGTCGGCGGCTGGAAGTCAAGAAAGAACATTTCCGAAGAACGCTTTGACTTATCTTTCTCATTCATCATTTTGCTTTTTCGAGAATGCGCAACATTTCGTCTCAAGCCCATTTTTCAAGCTTTGCGGTTTCTAAACGACTACTGTACAAATGGCAGACGAGGGATTCAGATGGCGGAAGAAGACGAGCGGCGTCGTATTCAAAGGCGCATGACGACTCGCGAATGAACGGGTTCAGAACGGACGTCCGACTTCTCGTAAATCGACACTAACGAATTGTTTTCACTGACATTGTCCAAGTGCAATCGCCGTTTTCAAGGACTTGGTCCCTTTTGTCCATCTAGAACCCGAGAGGATTATGGCCTGCGATTACGGTAGCCAGGTTGACCCTTGTTAAACAACAATTATGTATGTATTATGTATGTGCAAGGTATTCGCACCCTAGCCCGAAACACATTCATATTGACACGCTACCTGCATTCACCGGATTATGAACAGCCCATTGATTCTAATCCGCTGGTTTGCCGCTGAGCCCGGTGGTCCCGCAGCTATTCAAACAGCGCGGTCACCACTAATAAACACACGACACCACCACATACATAATTATCACGTCGAGATCGGAGGTCGATTGTGGTAAACGAGACGAATGTGCCAAAAAAAACACACACACACAGCAGCGAGCGATGAGAACACTTTGGAAAAGGGAGTACACGCACTTGAAAATCGAAACAAGAGCACGCCGTTTAGTGTGGAATTTGGTACAGAAGAGGTTGGTTGTTGAGTCGAGTACCCACTTGAGAAGGTGCCAGGCCTAGAAGAGCCCTTATGAGGAAGAAGGCCCTACTGGAAAAAAAACACACACAGAAACACATATATAATACTTATTGACTGATGGGTTTTTTATTCTTTGGCGGCAACCAACTCCTCAAATACCGATTGAAAAACGGGACCTGACAGTGGTAATCGATCAATGTCAATCGCTGGATGACAAGCGTTGGCGAATCATCGTTGTTGCGATATACAACAAATCGATTCCAGTTTAAAGGCACAACAACGCTTGACAAAAATTGTGTACGGTAATCATCAAATTGTGAAGCATTGTGTGAACACCTGTTGGTTGCAATACAATGCCGACATTTGGTCAAAGGGAAATAATTATTGAAAAAAAAATCTGATAACACCGTGGAAAAAATTATTCGAGTCCAAAACCTTCATTATCATGTTTCAAGAAACATCGATCCAAAGATTTTTCTTCGGTTTAGCCACTGTTTTCTTTCGAATCAGGTTCATAGTGAACCTCGGCTTTCTCAAGATTCGTAGTGCCCCCCCCCCCACCCCTCCTATTACCATATTTGAGCTCGTGTGTATTTGTGTAATACAGTAATCGTTGTCTCCCCCCCTCCATTCATTAGTCTCTAACACAATATTTACTCATCTCGCGCACATTTACAAAAGTAACAATCTACGGGGCCGCTTGATGGCTCGCATTAATCCTCTTCTTCGCAACACAGGTGTAATCCGCTATTTGCGAGTCGACGATGACGGTCACTACGCTGACACCGGAGGTCGGCAACTCCTTTGAAGTGTCAGACTTCTGAAGACGAACACTCGAATATACACATCGACATCCGTCAATCAAATCGCCGCTCGATGCCCAATAAATACGCTGTCAATGGCAAATTGCAGATGCACACACAAACATACATACAACACAAGAGATTTATTTGATTCGCCTCACTTCTCATGCAAATGTGCCCCATTGAGCGCGCGTTTTTGCCGATTTTTGACGGGCGAACTGATGGCGTTGATGCCGGAAGTCGCACGCGCGATTGATGGCCCGGAAAAGGGTAATTGGTTGTGAAAAAAAAAGGTGTGACATTTGATGGCCTCGGCTTGCTGCTTTTTTGGCACGAAATCCTTGCAACCTCTCAAGAAACGAGATTTTCCGCTTCTTCGATCTCATTTCTCTAATCTCTTTTTTGTTTTCGTCATTTAAAAAACTATTAATTACGTGGGCGAACGAGTAAACCTTGGGCGCACATAAAAACGGAGTGTCGTTTGAATCTCTTGATTCCCGACACTGAACCTTTAACTATGCTAACTATAAACATCGAGACAATTTGTTGAAAAATTCTCAACAAAAAAAGCGTCATAGTTGTCATTTTCAATCTCTTTCCACACGCACTCCCTCACAGATGCCTCGCCAGAAAATTGATTGATTGTCGGCCTAACATGAGTAATCAATCTTCGTTTCAAGACTCGTGTCGATATGGCGGCTCATCGTCTCCGGGACCGCGAGCGGGCCGCCCATTTCTTTGTGTAGACAACAAACATATCAAAACTTGTTGGAGTGAAACGCCACGGAGCAACGCACCCAGCAGCTCCGAGGCCCCCAAGAGCCTCGTTTGTCATCACAGGCCTGTCAAAAAATGGCTCATCAGCGTCTTTCCGACACGAAAAAAAACACGAATGTCTCTGCTCATCTCCTAAAGAGCTCTAAAATCTCGGCGGGTTTCAAAACTAATTAATTAGAGTTGAAAAGCGCGCACACACACAGACACTCAAACACATCAAAAAGATCGAACCGACCGACTCATCACACTTGCGATTCATTCAATTAGCACCTATACAACCCTCTTAATGGGGAAAATTGATGGCAGCAGCTCGCCCATTCGATTTTGATGATCAAAACAATTGAGCAGATGAAGATGAAATGGGCAAAATAAATGGCCGGAGCGAGAAATTTTTCCAACCGAAATTATGAGTTGGTGATGGGATCGGATAGAAGACTCCATTCTCAAATCAGAAAAGAGAAAAAACAGTGGAAATACTTAAATTTTAAGAAGAAATTAATTCTACGTGTATGAATCATGCCAATTTAATAAACGAGATGCTATTTACGCTAAATGTTTGGCAGGTGTAAGAATGGAGTGTCGTTAATCTACCCGTTTAGTTTCTTCCCTTGTGACAGGTAAAAGCTTCTACATTTCCCTCCAGATGCTCAATCAACCCGTCGATCCCGATGAATGTTGAAAATCAAGGCCACGAGGCAGGTAGGATCGATGAGTTTTGTTGTCACTTCCACAGAGGAAAAACCTCATCAATAAAATCGGAAATGTTTTGGAACAAAGCCGTTCGTTTGCCGCATAAAAACATACGATCGACTTGAGAGACATTTTTCTACTGCATTTTTTTATGATTATTGTCATTTTATAGACTCTTTGGCCATTTTTATGACTATAAAAATGCCTGTATCAAATGCTGTTGCGCGCGTACGTTCTACATATTTGAGGAAATGTTGCGAAGCGCAGTGATAGGGTTGGTTTCGTCGGGGGGTCTGATTGACTGACTTGCTTCATTCAATTCATTCATTGTCAAAACGGAGGAAAATTAACGAGCGACCATAAAAAATTGTTTGAAGCTTTTGGGTTTATTCTTTTCGAGGCGAAACGAGAAAACAAGAGAAGCGTGATGAGCGTCGGCAACGGCAGCAAAACAAAGTCGTATAAGTTTCGCCGGTTGTCGCGTGTTTGTATGTTTTACGAGCATTTTATTGTGATTTAATATGGTGTTGCGAATGGGCGACGCACGATTGAGAAGAGAGGAAGCAGTATCAGTGTGATCATGTGAGAGGCGCTCGTAAATAATTTTCAGATCGCAACTTTCTTTTGTGTATGTTGGCCCAATACACTCGGATAATTAAAGTGATTCATTAATGAGAGGACATGCAAAAATAAAAACGAATAATAAAAGAAGAAAACCGACATTTTGCAACACACACGTAGAAGAGTACACACTCATGATTTAAAAGAAAGAAACAAATATAAGGAGACTTTCGTAATATTTACAACCAGAACATCGGGACCCGTTTTAAGCGCTGAACATTTCGAAAAGGTAGGCATTGAAAAAAAAAGTTGGCACAGATGAAATCTAACAACTATCTAACGATGTAAAGCTTCTATGGATGTGGCATTGATGACATTAAACGTTGGGTGTACATCGCCTGGAGTGGGAACGGAAGCATCGGCATACTCATCGGGTTCATTGTCGGCATCGTCGGCTTCGCATACGGATTGAAACGGACCTGAGATGCTGATGATGATGGGCGAGAAGTCGGCGTCTTGGTAATCTTTGGCGATTCTGACTTTGGTGCCGAAGAAGCAGAGGATGGTGGCGATGGTGTATGCACCGACTGGAAATTGAGGAATTGATACAAATTGATTCGTTTTCATTATTTACCTTTACGTGCTCATTGAGCGCTTCTTGGCTTTCAAACGTTTTTCCGCAGGTTCCATTTGGCTGCGCCCAAAGGCATTGATGCTTCTGTGTGCTCGGGGTCGACTCCGATGGCTGCGCCGGCGATTGCTTTGGAGTCGCTGGTGTGGCTCCGGCGGCGGCAGCAAGAAGCGACTGGTATGACGGCATGCCGGATGATCCAGACACTGTTGGCATCATTCCGGCGTAGGCACTGAACAATGGATGGGTCGCGAACTGGGCCATCATTTCCGGAGTTGGTCCGGCGCTGCTGGAGGTTGGAATGCATTGGGTGCATCCTGGTGTCATGCATGGTTGACGCATCATGGCGAACGGGCACGGCATTCGTCCCATGAATCCCGGGAAGGCGCCGGGAAACGCCATCGGATAAGGCATCATTGGATTGAAGAATGGGAACGGCATTGGGGGCATTCCCATTGGGAATGGCGGCTTTGGAAGTCCGGGGAACGTCATCGTTGGCTCTTTTGAAGCTGGTGTGCTTCTTGGAGACGTCTTCGGCTTGACATCCACCTTCTTGTCGGTGTTCTTGTTGCTCAGATCGCTTGGAGATTTCTTCGAAGGGGTCTCCGGAAGACCGATCGTTTCACATGTTTTCGCGAGAAGTGCAAGGGGCGATTTGCCAGGCTCCATCTGGAAATCGAAATTATCAGTAATTGAAGCCTAAGGACACACTTCATAAACGTGTGCCTAAATGAGAAAAGAGTGAAAGAAAGCGACGAAAAAAAAAATGAAGGACAGCATGAGTGACGGGTCCGAGGAAATACATAATAAATCCGACATGACAGCACAAGATGGATGGAAAAGGAGTTTGACACCCCGAAACGACCTCTCATGGTGAAGAATCAAGACAATACAAACACATTGAGAAGTGGTATCACTCACCGAGCTCGACTTAAAATCAGTAATATATTTGGTGCATGCAGTGACCATTCTTGAGGAATCGAATGTTTGACAAATGAGAAGAGGCGGGCAGCTATTTGATAGAAGGGGGTGTGGTGTGGTAGATGGGAGATCGAGAGAAATATGAAAAAGGTGTGAACGAACGAACACGCTCACTCACTCACCAGCAAGCACTCACTCGGGCCGACTCGTGTATTATGTCGGAGGCCGACAATTTCGGGGGAGGCGTGGTCGGCCGACCAGTGACGATGGGCGGGGCCAGCCAATCGGTGCAGAGGCGGGGCGTGAAAACAAGACAAACTGACATATATCAGTGAATTTATGATGTGTCAATTGAGCGATTGAAGGTTTGAAGTTAATCGGTGATGAAGGAGAAGAAGAAGAGACAAGCAGATAAGAGGTGAAACGGCGACGAGCAAATTTTTTGATTTTTTTTCGGAAGAAAGATAAGTATTAAAAAATCTGAAGAACACATTCCACTGAAATCGCGATTCCGGGATGCCCAACAAATTTTTGAATTTTAAACGGTTGCTAAAGTCACCTAACAACCGCAGTTTGTTCTAATCTCAGATCAACATTTTGCAATAATCGTTCAAATCGAGGAGCTCGTTTCTCGCAATTTTCAATATGACATCATCCAGGTGTATATTTGAATCTTTTCGAGAAAAAAGTTAATTTTCTAACCTTGCTCAAGATTCTTTAATAACGAAGTGAAAGAATTGTTTAACCTATTCAGTTAACGATGAGGTAATTAATATCGAAGAATAATCAAGAAGGCTATCTGAATTTTCAGACTCAGATAGGAATGGACTTATTCATGCAATAAAAATGTGTTTAATAAATAAAACATTTTTGCAATGCAGGTTTATTAAAAAAACGCAATTTTAACGTTTCATTTATTTTCCTAAAAAGAATAATGACAGAATTTTATTGTAAAACCGAACCAAATTTTGCCATATAAGCTAGTATTTGTTTTCAATTCCCAACAAACTGTAGTTTTTTTTAATTCACTTCTCATACCAAAATCTGTTCTGCTCGCTAGCTTCTCGTCACTGATAAAAATCAATTAGAATTTAAAACATTTTAGAAGTTTATTGTCGCTGCTATCGGCTCATAAAAACGTGAAATTAATGCTCCTTGGTTGATAAGAAAAGGTCGTAAAATGTGCAAATTGTCTGATTTATGACATCTAATGATGACCAGTGGTCAATTTGAAATCGATCGAATGTTTTCGACGGTTTTGTCACAAAGTTTAGCGACAAATCCCGAACGAGTCGTTGCGTACCCAATAATTAGGGACCCTTTAATTTGGCGAACACCCTCAATTAGTAACGCCTAATTAAGTCATTTGACGAGGGTCCCTCGTTTTTGGACAGCTACCTACATACGCATAATTGGGTGCAAAATCGTGTCAAAACATAACAAGGTGACACGCCACCTGTAGATGTTGAGATGATACCGGCATCAGAAGATAACTCGAACAAGGATGGCAGGCGTGCGACGGCACGTTCCTCTCGCAGAACTCGGCGTGCTCCTTTTGAGATAAGATTGACTGAAGAGCACTCATGATGGATTAGTTATGTGAGAACAATTGGCACTTATCGGATTATGAAGAACTAATGCAAAAAGCGACTGACGGGACGTTGATTGATCATTCAAGGGCACTTCGGATCGAGTGCAAAGACGTCAATTAAATTTTTATGATGGTCCCTGAGCCGAACATCAAAAGAGGCATTAAGACTTGAATACGGTTAAGGACCAAGAAAAGAGCAGAAGCACCTTACTGTTAAAATGAGCCTATGAAATTTATTGGAAAGCAGTAATTCAGAAGCGAATTGTTAGTAGAATTAGTGTTCAAGATTCTTTTTCACATTAAACCCCCCCCCCCCAAAAAGTGAAACGGGAGTTTCAAAACTCACAGATTTCCCATTTGTCGGTTGAACCTCGAAAAGGCAACCTCCCATTTGTGTCACGTCTTGTTCGCACATCAAATATGTCAACGTTAGCTTCTAGCACCCACCGCGGATTCACACCATTGCGTCAATTGATCCCTCGATGTCAATAGGGTGCTAACATGGCAGTTAATGGTGCGAATTGCAAACATTTGGCGGTGAAAATCAAGATTTGAAATAAAACAAATACAATAAAATAAACGGTGGCGCGTGCGACAGTTTTATGAGATCCTCTCACCGGATTGCGCGACTACTAAGACGACGACGACGACGACGACATAAGGTTGCGCGCTTTTGAAACGCCGCCCGATTGTAAACCGAGACTGTAAATCAGTCAACGAGCAACGAACGACGACGCAATAACACAAGATGGATTGATGACTCTTTCTTCTCGCATTTCATCTACTTGGAATTATTTCCACGGGACCTACTCGTTTAGAGCGACTGCGGAAAATTGACTGACATTGATCCTCGCGCAGAACTGAAATTGTGTGTAATTGGTTAAAGGCGCACACCGCCCAGCGGGACCCTTTCATTAAGTTTCTGACATTTAGCCAATTTTCCGACGCCGACAATATCGTTTCAGACGATCGAATTCAAATGAGAGCTGACAGTTTACCACCAGCTGTGGACCATCAATTTATACTATATATTTATTTATTCGTCAACAGAACACTTTTGGATCAAATGTCTTCGGACGGTAACCTTCGACTGATGACTAACCATTTCATAACAAAAAGTTGGAAAGGAATAAAATTGAAAGGATGCCCATAAAAATCGTCGACCATCCCCATAAAAACATCGTTATCAACAAGAGAAGCCGCTGAAAAAAAAAGAAGCCTTTTCAACCCCAAGACGATTATTGTGTCGGAAGAGCATCTGGCCAATAAACACTCGACCAACACATGTACTCGCAATCTCATATTGCACTTCTTAATAACAAAAAGCAATACCAAATTGAAGGCGCCGAAACACGATACGGGGGGGGCCTCTTGGACTACGCAACTCATTCGTTAACGGACTGTCAAACATTCATTCATTCAGAGCGTCGGCGGCTGCCCTCTGTCAATTTCTCACATTTGCTATTAACTAAACAATTAGTGCATATTTGGCCTTTTTTGTTCGAATGGCCGCCATCGAACACACTCCGAATGCATGGAATCGAGTTTTTTTTGTGCAAATTAATAGGCTCATCGTGCAATTGGACTTTGGACATAAAAAATTGAATTGAATATGCAAAGTGATGGAAGCAAAGAAAAACGAGCGGAGGCACTTTGAGGGGAGAATTGGGTGCAAAATAATGAAAATGAAGAATGTCTTAAGAATTGGAAAAGAAATGATGGAATGTTTTCAAGCAATTGGTGTCTAATTCTGAGTTCGTTGCGAAACATTGGAGAATTCAAAACGAATATCGAATTCCAACAAATTCGAAGAAATGTCAAAAGACTAGGAATAAAATCGTGTTTCTTTGATGTCAGTGACGTTAATTTAAATCATCCCATATCGGATTGTGACACTTTCGATAATCTAAAGAAGTTCATCAGTCACCACAAATTATAAAATTAATCGAACACGGTGATTATCAAGCCTATCAATCGCTATCAAATCCTTATAATAAATGTGTCTGGATTGGATCAAGTTGATCAGATGATTCGAATCTTAATGGATAGGATCGGATTGGATTGGATTGGATCCTAACCGAAAAGAAACCTCCGGAACAGGTGTCAACGTTTTTACGAGCCGCGCTCTTTCTTTTTTATATTATTTTTTATTTCGGCTTTAACGGAACCGTCGATTCATTCCACCCATCCTAACATCTCTTGGCGGTAGCAATTTACCTGAGGTTTACGATGTGCATTCGATGCGATTCAGAGGCGGCCATCGAGGACGACGAACACAAGAATGTATCGTTTGAGAGTGTGTGTGTGTGTTTCTTTCATTTTTCTTATTGATGCTATAAAATCGAATGCGAGTGACACAAGGCGAAAACAAACCAGATCACTGTTTTATGTGATTCATACTACTATCAAGCTGTGACGGATGCCAAGGGGTCAAATGGTTTCTTATTTGGAGAAGGCGCAACATTTTCAAGCATATGGTCAAGGAAGGTAAGATGAGAAGCAGGATGAGGTCGCTTCAATGGTCCGTAAACAAACAGGCCGAACAACCAATCGACCTGGTTACGGTAATTAGGGATTTCTAGTAGGCACATGGGGGGGGGGAGACGGATTATCCGGCGGATCAACAATACTTGTTGCCGTCAAAGAAGTCAAACACCGCGCTATCAATCAACCGACTTCGCTTTTCACAAAAATCTCGCCCTGAACGAATTATTTTGGGCTTGTTTTGATTGATTTCTGTCTACATTCGTGTGTGTGTGTCAATGAATTCAAAAAAATCCGAACGATGCGACCCGCGCGCCTCGCCGGCACTGTCAATTCGAATTCATCAACATCAAAGGTACCGCTCGTCAAAAAAATGTCCGCCTTCACTAAACTGCTGTATGTGTATGTGTATAAGAAAGGAAGTGGGAGGTATAGAATTTGAAGAGAAGCACCAGCAGCCGGCAACACATTCATACGCAATTTATTGCATTAAATTTTGAATTTTTTGATGAACCGGCTTTGACGAGCAAACGACACTCCAGTGAACATGCGCCTGGCGTTTAGTGCGCGAATAGGAGTACTGTGATGGCAATATTCGCATTAAAATTCAATTTCACGCTAGATTTGTCGGTCGTCGTCTTCGGTTGTCTCAGCTGACAAAACATTAATTAATGAGAAGTGAAACACGGATTCTCGCGCAGATTTTAATCTCGCGTTTGAGGCGAAAAAGGGACATTAATTACACTGAAAAAATGGCGAACCTGACACTCGCTGAGATAACATTTGTGCCTTTATCGAACCGCCACCGAATTCTTTTATCAACACTACTAGAAAAAATATTCCAAAGAGAGAGAAGGGGGGGGGCGAAATTCAACAAAAACATTAAAACGTAAATGGGGGCCATAAATCGGCACGGAAAAAGGTTGCCAAATAAATTTAATGGCAGTTGTCTTTCTTCTCCCGCTACGGGTCT